CATGAAAGTTTTGGCGCCTAAATTAATAATTCTGGAAGCACAGAAGGTAGGAAGCTGAAATCTTAGGTGAAAGTTTCTTGCTCGCATGTGAGCAAGAAATGTGCCCTTTGCTCGCATAACCCTTTGTTCGCATATGCATTTTGCTTGGACCTAGGTCTCGCACCAAAATTAATAAACCGGGAACCACAAAGGTGAAGATTCTGATTTTCGCAAGCACAACAGAACTTATTTATGTTTTTTACTTAGGATTCTGAAGAAATTTATTGTTGTTTCTGAATTTCGAAAGTTTTCATCTGTGAAAGTTAACTCCATTCCAGGTTTACGGATCTGATTCGTGAAGATGAGAATATTGCGAAATCGGTGGCAAATCTGGATCGTGATATGCGTGGCTCGCATCGTGGTGCTATCAGGCGTATTCGTAGCGATATCAGCAAAGCTGTACCGCTGGCCACCAGGGAAGATGGAAGTAGATATATTTTTTTTTGAATTTTTGGAAATATAGAAATTTTTGAATTAAGAAAAGGTACAGTGAGGAGAAATAACCTCTAGGTGTTCCAGAGAAATATTCCTTAAATTAACAGAACAATTACCAATTTTCTGAGATTTAATTGTTGCGTAAAAATTTTTTTAAAAAATATCATAAATATTTTTATTTACCATTTTTTGAAATTTGATCCATACTAAGTAACAGAAATGGAAATTTTTTTGAGTTATGAAAAGGTGCAGTGAAGAGAAATAACCTCCGTGCTCCATGGAAATATTTGTTAAACTACCAGAAAAATTATCAGTTTGTTGCGATTTGATTGATGCTTAAAATAACTGACCAGAAGAATTTTACTCAGGCATCATGTGTACGGTGATATTTTGCGGTGTAAACTGTCTTTCATCGTTTAGATGTAGTAAGGTGATATTTTACGATGCAGTTTCTGTGTTTCATCCCCTAGCTGTAAACACAGATCGGACTATGCATGCGGCTAGGACTGGAAATCGTCGGTACAGCCTCCTACCCAATAAGTATTGACAGGACATGTAACTAATTTGCAAGACGAATATGTGAAAGAAAGAGAGAGAGAGGGAGAGAAAGAGAGAAGTGCAATAAGGAGAGAATTGCACGACTGTGTTAAAAAATACCATAAATTTTAAAAAGTCCCATTAACTTTTTGTTTCAGCATTTGGGGCAATTTTCCGAAAACGTCTCAAAGATGTAGCATTTGTGGAGAGTGGTTGCGTGGTGACATTTGAATGCGTGGTAATTGGTAATCCACAGCCAACCATCGAATGGTACTTCAATGAAAGTGTTGTTGTGGAGGATAACAAACACAAGGTTTGCAATTATAAAATTGGGAAAATCTAGTAATGAATTTTAGTGATAATTCATAAAATGTTAAAAAAATATATGTATATCAATCACTGGCGACGCACATCGGGCGAACCCCTGAGATCATGCGTTTTTGCAGTATTTCGTGCTGTTGCAAGATCGCTTGTAGTCTCACTAGTTAGAATTTCTGGCATACTGGCCCTCGAAGTTCAGGAAATTTACTGTACGACTACATGGCACTTGGTCAGGAGACATCTCAGAATTTCAGCTTCCTGTTTTCTCTGGTCCTCGAGTTAGCGATTTTCTTGCTAAAGATTTTCGCGGAGCCGTATGTGAGAACCGCACATATCTCGGTGCTGAATTTGAAAACTTTAAATCGTACGTGGGCTGAGAAAATCCCCTTAAAATTTCAGCGTCCCGGCTTTCCTGGTTCCCGAATCAGCGATTTTCCCGTCAGAAATTTTACGCGCTCATACGCGGGACCCAGACGAGCATGAGAGTTAGTACCGTGGTCCTTGGGCGGCACTTGGCCGGGGAACCCACTGGCAAAATTTTGGCGCAGGAGCTCGCTTGGTTGCCGAGTTAAATACCCGTCACACACACATGCACACACCAGAGTCGTTACGATATACGTTTTTGCATCTGCATATATGCAGTAACGTTTAAAAAAATTAGTCAAACGAATAAATATTTTTGGTCCATCAAGTTGCATATGTCGCACTCCTTCTGCACATCACCGTGTAAATATTGCCATTTAGCATAGTTCAAAGACTGGTTCTTTAAGGAAATTTTTGCAAAAATACGCCAGATAACGAATAGTAAATTGATAGTTCACTCTACTGAATTTGAAGCGGTTTAAAGGCAGAAATTGAATACCACGTAGTTTGATTTTTATTAGCAGAATTTTTTTAGATATCCTACGAAAATGGTACCTGCCGGCTGAGAATTCTGAGCACAGATATGACTGACCTTGGAGAATATGCTTGCATTGCGTCTAATGAACATGCTATCGATAGGACTTCCGCTCGACTTCTTTCTGGAGGTGAGCCAAAAAATTCAAACATACCAAGAATACCAAGACCTCCAGAAAACAATTGTGGTTGTCTCATGTCAGCGATTTTTCTGGGATGCCACCAAAAATCGGGCACGTAGGCCCGGCTTTTCGATTCTAGGGCCGATTTCAATTTTGAAAAGCGAGAAATTTGCATTTATAGCCTTGAAATTTTTATTTTTTTCTACTTTATGGAAAATTAGAAATTTGCACTTATACCCATAAAATTTTTGGTTTTTTGTAATTTATGGAAAATCCGAAATTCGCACTCACACCCCTATTTTGATTTTTTCTAATATCTTTTTCTTTGAACAAAAATAATTTGCTGACTATCACTATATTACTGATGCTTTTTGAAATACAGAAACGCCATCACCTCCTGGTCGGCCAGAAGTTGAGCTATCATCGGACACTGAAGTATTCATTACCTGGGAAGCACCGCAGCTGAGCCACAGCCTGGAGTGCTTTACTTACAAGCTAGAGGTTCGACCTGCAGGTAAAATTTTTGCCGAAAAATTTCTTCCAGAAAAACATGAAGTCCAATAAGCTGGGTTTTTTTTAACTAAACACAGAAACTTTGCCAGAAAATTCTAAAAATTTTTGAAATGAAATAAAAGTGACAGAGAAAAAAAAACGATAAAATACTGCTTTTATTTCCCCCGTTTCTTATCTCCATCTTTATATACTAATAAAAAGTGAAATATTGTACAAAATCTATTCGCTCTTATAATTTAGGCGAAAACGATTATTTCTCGGAGTGGCGATTGGTTTCTGATAAAATTGAAGATCAGGCAGCTGTTGTGAGACATCTGACTCCTCAGGGTATTTATCAGTTCCGAGTTATTGCCAGGAATGAATTCGGATGGGGCGCTCCCTCACTGACTTCGAGAATCATCCAAACGCATCCGAAAAGTAAGTTATTCAACTCGCCAGATAAATGATGCAGGTCAAAGTTCATTCTGGAAACCAAAATAAAGTAGTTTCGAGCCGGCTGTAATGCAAAAATACATTATAGATTCGCCAAAACTGCAAATCGAGGAGCTTCGGAGCCAGTATCGTGTGTGTGTGGTTTCGAAACCACCCAAAACACAGTTCGTTTCAAAATCTAAAAATTTGGGCGAAATAGCGGAAGAGGATGAAGAAAGAATGGAAACTTCAGAACTGCCATCGAAAATGCAAACAGAATTTATTACTCTGAATACTACCGACGATCCACAAAGGCGTTTTCAGGTCAGTATCATTTTGCATTTTTGTTCTACTGAATTAGGGACAAAAATTTTTAGCAACAAGTCTTGCTTAGAAACCAGTTAATTTTAGAAGTAGCAATTCCCAGAACCTTGCTCGTGTAGAAAATATCCAGAATCAGATTAGCTTAGTTTCGATGGAAAACAGAGGAGTTGAGCGAAATTTTGATAGACAAGGGGGTCTATTTGTAAATTAATGTAATTTAAACTCAAAGACAAATCCCTTCAATATTCAATTTCACTGCGACAGGAAAAGGAGTTCAAAATTATCCTGAATGGCAGCAAATGCCAACAGCAACCACCCGCTGACAAGGTCGTCGACGACCTCCTTTTTTGAGAGTTGCGCAGAAAAAAGCTAATCACAAGGTTGAGACCTTGGCATGTGCCAGTATCAGTTTACACTCGAAATGAGTGAACGAACTGTAGATGGACTGACTTTTTCACTGGCACAATCAAACCCTGGACCTATATTTGCATAAAACAGTGCTTGTTTACTATGTTGTTCCTGTCAGCAGTTTAACCCAATAAGCTATATTTATTGGCACTTCTCCCCTTTTATTGGCACTTACCCCTCTTTCTGTGTGTTTACAACTAAGGGATGTAACACAGACCGCATTACTTTCTATTCATTGTTACACGCAGTGTAAAGTACTCCGATCTCATTACTACTTTAACAAATGCAGAAGCTATACATAGCTATTTGAAAAAAAAGAGCCATATATTGCGCCCTCTTGACTACGTAGGTAAATTATCACTTACATGAAGTAAGTCTTCTGAACTTATTTGCAGAAGCAATTTAAATACTGGAAATTTCTCGCAAAAATTTTTTTCGAACGCAATTTTTCAGCTCATTGCGCCAATCCCCCGTGGTCGATTTGGAGAGATTATTTTTGCACTGGACTCATCAAGACAGCACGGCGCGGATTGCGTTGCAAAAATCAAGGATATTAATGTGGAAGGTTCCAATGGTTTAATAGAATTTGAAGCTATGAAAGAATGCCAGCAGGAAAATGTCGTTGATCTAATCGCTGCCTACCAGAAGTAAGGATCAATAAATTTTCTGTAATTTCTGTAAATTACATCCCTCAAGGAGTGCAATGAACGTATAAGTAGGGTAGAAAAAATCGAAAAAATAGCGTTTTAGATGAATGGTACCTTCATCGCTTTGTGAGTACTAAAAATACTTAATTTTTTTATCAAGTAATATTGACCAGAATCAATTGCTAATGCAGCATGTATAAAACGTAATAAATTTCATGAATATTAAAACTGCCCAAACACACGGTATGAGAATTCCATTCTAGTACTTTCGTGAACGGAGTCCTTTTTCGAGAACTGTTCAGGACCGGAAGGAAATCGAAGCATTTCTGTTCACTTCCGGAAGCAGTGTGTTGCCACTGCACCACTGCTCTTTGCGCGTCAGGTTCAGCCTGGCAGCACATCTACTGTGTATCTACTTGTCAGGGCAAGATATGCCTTTCTTTTTTTTGTGACGGCTTCTTGACCGGCTTTCCGCATGCTTTCCACTGCAGGTATTGCTGCAGGAACAGTCCCGTAAGCCTGACGTGGCTATGTCAAGTTTATCGGCTTTAAGATGTATACTTTCAGTTAATACTCTCCACCGCCTCAGTAATCGTTCACTTTCAGCACGAATACTACAGCACAAAACAATATGTTGTTTTTATTATATTATTTAATTTTTTACCAGAAAAAACTGACCTTTTAAGCAAAATGTTGGAAACTGAGTTTTAATTTTTTTCAGAAAAACAGCGCTTTCATCACTTTCCTAGAGGCTTGAGCTTTTTTCGTAGGGACTTGAGTTCCCGCAGCTCATCTTATACAAAAGAGTGTTATAATTTCAGAGTAAATACATTGTTTTTATTCATGGAACGATGCCAGGAAGATATATTTGAGCGATTCACGTATCGTGATCAGTATAACGAAGAACAGGCAAGCAGAGTGATCGCACAAATAGCCTCTGCACTTCACTGGATTCATTTTAGAGGGTAAGAGAAGTTATTGATGATTATTGACTAGTTATAAATGTAACCGCCTATCAGCGACTGTTGATATTCCATTCGTCTGATAATTGCTGTGCCAACACTTTTCAGTTCCAGGAAAAGCAGACCACATTTTCATCCTAAAATAGCTACTAGAAACTAGGAGAAAGTACCATTTTCCTCTTTATTTTCCTTTTCGTTAATTATGAGAAAGCATTCGGTAACGCTGAGCTTATAGCTGAGCAATATTTGAGCTAACAGCTAAGCGAAAGCGAATTTTATCAGATCTAATATAAGTTTTGGTAAAAAAATTTATAATTTTTAACACATTCGAGATTTTTTAATCGTTTTTATTACTCTTCCACTCAGTTTTTCACTCTCCTGTTTCGAAGAAACAAATCCTGCTTTCCTAGAAGTATGAGAAAGAATCCGTGGTCTGTTCTGGGAACTGCTGCTTCACCTTTTATTTTCTTTCAGCTATTTTACTTGCTTCGGTTTCTCAGTGTTTCCCGAATCCAGTGGTTCTCAAATTCCTGGCCACCCTTAGAA